CTTTTATTAACAGGCATAACCGCCCTGCTGGTGTTTATTAATGGCCATAAAAATTAGTCATCTCTCTTTTTTTTTTTTAAAGGTACCCAAGCAAGGTATGTGACTCTAGAGAATTCCCTCACTGGCTGCATTGAGGCTGCACGGAGAAATCTCTCTGTTTTAGCCGACGGTCATTAATTTAACGGACTTGGCCGACGTTCTGGGATTAAGGAACACGGCGCAATGAGGAGCCGGGGAAGCAGAGGGTTTTACTGTCCTCTCAGTTTATTCTCTGCTCTTCTTGTGTGCAGAGAAACGCTGGTCATATTCCACCAGCCGTCTTCCTGAGCTGAGCGCCCCGATCTCAGGGTCTGGCCTTCAGAGTCAAGGTTTTAGCTTAATTGTCCCAGAAGCTGGCTCTCTGGCCGAGCCCCCCCAGGTGACTGCTTGGGGGGACACGTGGAGGAAGGGACAGATGTGCCCTAGGGGCTCGGGACTGGCATTGCCTACTGGGCCTGCACTGCTACCAGGATGAGCCTAGGACAGCTACTTAAACTTGCCCTGTACCTGTCTGCCTCTCTGTCTGAGGGAGAAATCTTGAGAATATATCCTGCAGCTCTCTCTCCAAAGAAGGTAAAAGGGCATCTAATATTGGGAGGGGCTGTGGCTCATTGGCAGAGCCTCTGCTTGGCATGCAGAAGGTCCCAGGGTTCAATCCCTGGCATCCCCAGCTAAAAAGGACTGGCAGTAGGTGGTGTGAAAGACCCAAGACCCTGGAGAGCTGCTGCCAGTCTGAGTAGACAGCACGGAGCTTGATGGACTGAAAAGGTCTGATTCAGTGTAAGGAAATTTCGTGTATTCGTCTGCTTGGCATGAAGAAAGTCTCAGGTTCAATCCCCGACATCCCCAGTTAAAAAGGACTAGGCAGTAAGTGGTGTGAAAGGCCTCCACCCGAGACCCTGGAGAGCCATTGCCAGTGTGAGTAGACAGGACTGAGCTTGACGGACCGCGGGTCTGATTCATTGTAAAGCGGCTTTGTGTGTGTGTGTGTGTCCAGCAGTCTGTTTTTCTTGATTTCCCAGCCAGTTGTCTCTGTCAAGTCCACCAGTAGAGCTTAAAAGCCAGAGTCCTCTTCCATTGCTTGTCCCCAGCACCAGATAGTCAAAGGTAGACTGACTCTGACCATGGAGGATCCATCCATTGCTCTAGGGCCTGTCTGGGTTTGGTCCATCACATTTCACCATTTTGCTTCTGACATCAGCTACTCAGTCTCCTCTGCAAGATGTGCACATTTGTCCGTCCGCGCCCCCCCCCCCCCCATCATCTACAGTTTTTGAGGTATATTGTCTTGGAACATGGAAGTTCCATTCTTATCTGTCACAAGTAAGAAGTACACCAAAAAAGCCCAGCTGGATCGGGTCCAACAGTCCAGGATCTGGTTTGCTGAAACGGTTGACCTGTTGCTCTTGTAGGCTTGCGAGGCAGGAGTGGTGGTGACACCTCCCTGTTCTTTGTCCCAGATAGCTGGCATTCTGAGATACAGTGCTCTTGTACATGCAGGCTCTCTCTCTTCTCCTCTCCAGATACCACCCTGTAGTTATTCCACAATCAATGGGTTCCACCTCAGTCAGTAGACCCAACTTTGGAGTCCGAGGACAATCTAGTTGGTCTCATCAGTTCTGACACCCAGTGTTCCCTCTAAGCTGAGTTAGTGTGAGCCAGCTCACAGTTTTTTAGCCTCCGGCTCACACATTTTTGCCTTTGCTCAGGAAGGAGGGCTCCAGAGCAAACTAATTTATGCAGTAGCCCAATGGCTCGCTCACAACTTTAATGCCAGTAGCTCACAAAGTAGAATTTTTGCTCACAAGACTCCACGGCTTAGAGGGAGCATTGCAAGTGACACCAGACCTCCTCCGATCTCCCTCGGCCCATCCATATCTGAAACTCACTTGTGTGTGCAGGGCTGGGGGGGTGACATCATCATCGGCCAGGCCTTGTTTGCTCTCTCCTGTCAAAAGCAGATGTGTTTTGTATCAGTCTCTGAAAGGTCTCCTGCTTGTGAAAACCCGACGCCACGATGGGTTGTCACAGGGCTGAAAGGACCAGGCCAGCAAGAGATTGTCGGATATAAGATGAGAGCTATTACGGGCTCCTCTGGTGGCAATAACGCAGCTGCGGTGACATGAATGGGAAGTCGGGAGTATCTGGATGTGCTCCTGTCCCCTCCCCTTCCAAAGTCACCCCCGGCCCAGCCTCGCCTGCACAAACTGGCAATATATGTATTGTTCCTCCAGTTGCCAAGGTAACCGCTCTCATCCAATTGGCTGTGACCCTTATCAATTCTGGCACATCTTCCCTTGTTCTCTGAAGACAGCAGTCGGCTGGAAGTCACTCATTAACGGGACCCTGTTTGGCTTGATCTCGGTGGAAGTCGCAACCTGGGAGCCGGCTTTCTGCCTCCTGGGTGCACGGCGCCAAGCCCCTGGCGATTCTTTTAGGAGAGGAGAAACGGTTTTGGTCCCGAGCTGCAGCCATGCTGGCAAACGGGGAACCCCAAAGTCTTATTTTGTCAAAGGTGCCAGGTGTCGCTTAGCACCCTCGGAAAACTGCAGTGGCCAGCAAATTGGGATAACCCTTTTGGGGTGGGTCAAGGGCCATCCCCGGTGGGGGTTTCAAGGCAAGAGATAAGCAGAGGTGGTTTGCTATTACCTGCCTCTGAATAGCAACCCCAGACTCCCTTCGCGGTCTCCCATCCAACGACTAACCAGGGCCGACCCTGCTTAGCTTCCAAGCTCTGACAAGATCGGGCTAGCCTGGGCTATTCAGGTCAGGGCTCCTGCAGCGTGGGAGGGATGGAATAAGCAAACTGGGATGTCCTTTGAGCTGGGAACCAGGAACCATTTTTCAGCTCCAGAAATGAAAGGTATTGAGGAGGAGGAGTGAGGGGAGTGGGAGAAATGAAAAGATGATGGGTATATTCTAGCTCTGAGCTAAACCTTCTCTTCCAGGATACCATAAGCTGTTTGCAGCTGGAGCAGGACAATTCCCCATCATTGTCTGCTTTCCTTTTCTTTAAAAAGATGCTTAACCGCCTACAACAATTGGTGTCTCCTGGAGGACCATGTGGGGAGGGAGAGCCTCGTGTTCACTGACAGAAGGGCATTTCCTGCCTGCCTGGGGGAGTGAACCCCTCCCTCCTCGCCGGGGAACAACGCCCTGACCATTATTCAACCATCAAGTCTGCTCTTAGGCAGAGTGGTGGTGGTGGATAATGAGAAATGAAACCCTTTGAATCCCCGGCATCTCCACTTAAAAAGGACCAAGCAGTAGGTGGAGTGAAAGTCCTCTACCTGGAGAGCCTTCAGAACTCCCTCCAGTCTAAGTAGTGGTGGACCAGTGGTCTGATTTCAGTAGAAGGCATCTTCAGACGTTGGACAATGAGCCCCCACGCCTTTCCTTTAGAGGTGTTGCTTAAGCACCAGGGATCTTGTTTAATCTTGACCCTTGCATCCTGCGTTTTCAGTTAAATGCACGCCAGGTGAATGTTTGCAGGCAAACCCAGCCAATTTCCTGGGGCAGCAAACTGGGCTAAGGGGGGGGGGACGACTGGCTCAGCTTCCTGAGTCGTTCTTATTTGGTGTTATCAGGAGCTCCTCCTGCCAACCTAGCAGTTCGAAAGCAAGAAATTGCAAGTAGAAAAATAGGTACCACTTCGGTGGGAAGGTCACAGCGTTCCGTGCACCTTGGTGTTTAGTCATGCCAGCCACATGACCACGGAAACGTCTTTGGACAGCGCTGGCTCTTCGGCTTTGAAACGGAGATGAGCACCGCAACCCTACAGTCGGACTCGACTGGCTTTCGAGCAAGGGAACCTTTACCTTTAATCAGGAGCTCCAGCTACAGGGAGCAAGATTGGACTCTGAACCAGAGGATTAGAAGGCCAAGTTCCCTGGCCAAGGCAAGTCCCCTAATTTCGTAGAAAAAGAGGTGCAGGGTCTCATTAGTGAAACTCATTTGCATATGCCACACCCCCTGACATCACCGGAAGTGTGTCAGAAGGCAACACCCACCGCTCAGGCTCCACAGGACTGGTTTGGATTGCTAGCTATTGGGGGGGGGGAAGAACGTGCAGATCTGCCCTCGCAGAGGAGGGAGAGCTTGTACCTGAATAAAATTTGGTCTTAAAGGTGCCACTGGACTGTTTTGGACCAGGGGCCCGGGGGGGGGAGGGCTCTGCAACTTACCTGGCTGCTTCTTGCTCTGACTGAGGGCTGCTGGGAGCAGGGGGTATGCCTTGTTGCATGTGCCCGCCCCCATGGCTCTTTACTGCCGGAGCTCCGCTCCTGTGCACTCCTGCAGGAAATTACTCCTGCCTAAACCCCTGCTTGAGGCAAGGGGGGGGCAATGTTGCACCACAATGCCCTTGCTGGCTCCTAGCTGGCTGGGGACTGGCACCCCCTCCTGGATCTATCCTAATGGCCGAGTCCATGCCAACCTCCTGTGGCTCTGTTGGTGGGACTTGGCTTGGAACCAGCTGCTGGCCGCCCAAGCCCAGGAGAGAATGGGTACTTTGTTTTGCTTGAGCGAGCCAGTTTGGTGTAGTGGATAAGAGCACGGACTCTAGTCTGGGAGAACCGGGTTTGATTCCCCACTCCTCCACTGCTGGTGTGACCTGGGGTCAGCCGTAAGTTCCTTCAGAGCTGTTCTCTCAAGGGCAGTTCCGGAAAGAGCTCTCTCAGCCCTGCCTCCCTTACAGGGTGTCTGTTGTGGGGAGGGGAAGGGAAAGGAGAGGATAAGCTGCTCTGAGGCTCCTTTGGGTAGTGAAGGGCGGGGCATAAATCCAATCCCTTCTTCTTCTGAGATGATAAAACGCCTGGAACCAGCCCAGATGGGGCCAGCAGGAACAGTGGCTGGAGGGGGGGGACTGGGAGGGTGAGGCTGGGAAGGAGGGAACCTGGGCTGGCTTGGGGGGGGGCCCACGGGGGGACCCACCCCCACCCACCTGCTCTCTTTTTCTGCAGTGGCTCCCAAGGGACCCAAGATCATGATGACTCCCACGAGGGCCCGCGTTGGAGACACGGTTCGCATCCTGGTGCACGGCTTTCAGGTGCGTAGTGGTGCCCCCCGGCGGCTTTGCCAGTGCCTCAGCGTGATCTGGCCTGTCAGGTACACCCAGGCTGGCATCTTGGTTTGTGTCTTGCCGGGGGGGGGGGTGATTTGAATGGAGGGCAACCAGTAAGTAAGGAAAGGGGATAAGGTGGGCAACCCACGGAAGAGTGAGCGAGAGATCAGGAAACGCCCCCTGCTGGTGGCCTTTCCCTGTGACACACTGGCGTGGTGAACCGGAGGCGCTTCGATCACCTTGAGATGAAGTTACGTTGATCTTTTAGACATCACGTTTTTAGCCCACTTTTCCTCAGAGGAGCTCACAGTGCAGAAACGGTGGTCCCCACCAGAATTCAGCCTCACAACAGCCTTGCGAGGTGAGTGAGGCAGAGGTCGACTGACCTGAGGTCACTCGGGCTGCATCATGGGTTAGTGGGGATTGAATTTGCGTCTCCCTGGTCTTTTCCTCAACACTCCAGTCACCATATCAGACTGACTCCCAGAGGAGAAATTGGGGTGGTGGTGGTGGTGGTGGCTTCCTTATGCTCAGCTGAAAAGACCACCTCGGATGCAGAAGGAGACTGAAGGGGGGCCCAGTTTGGTGTCATGGTTAGGAGTGCAGACTGTAATCTGGGAGAACCAGGTTTGATTCCCCACTCCTCATCCACATGCAGCTGCTGGTGTGACCTTGGGTCAGTCACAAGTTTTTTTTCAGAGCTGTTCTCTCAGGAGCAGTCCTCGAAAGAGCTCTCTCAGCCCCACCCACCTCACAGGGTGTCTGTTGTGGGGATGGGGAAGGGAAAGGAGATCGTAAGATGCTCTGAGACTCCTTCAGGTAGTGAAGGGCAACGTATAAATCCAATCTCCTCCTCCTCCTCTGGAGAGTGGGTGGGAAGGGCCATGGCTTTCCCTTGGTTTCAAGGCCCCTGCATGATCTCAGAAAACTGGGAAGCTCCATAGCGAGGCTGCTGTCCAGATCCAGCTGGGCCACTCGTCCAGTTTCATGGCTGTTTCCTCCAGCCAGTTGGGTGACGTGACAGTTAGCCCCCCCCCCAGCCAATCCCAGCTTGTTCCCCCCCCCCGGCGCAAGGCACAAGGTGGGGAGGGGATTTGGCGTGGCCGGCGTGCGGCCTCTCGCCCCATTAACTCTGCGCCAGCATCGTGCTTGGGATTTGTGTGCTCTCGGCTGCCTTCTCATCAGCAACGGAGTTTGTTGTCATTAGGAGGCAATTGCAGGCAGCCGGCGAAGTAGCTGCCACTTAATCTGCGCAGCACACGGAGCGTATCGAGTGCCGAGGGGTGGGTGCCGGGATTTCAGCAAGGGATTCGCTCTCCCAGGGGCTCGGGGGACAGCAGCGATGCAAGCGAGGGGAGCTCAGGGTAGGGAGGGGGCCCAGGACCCCCGCTTTACACACAGAAAACCCCGGGATCAAGCCCCAGATGGTAGGGAAGGCCTTTCTCTGCCAGTGGCCTTGCTGAGCCGCTGCCGGCCAGAGCGGACGATGCTCAGCATGAGGGACCAAGGGCCTGACTCAGCGGAAGGCGGCTGGAGAGGTCCCATGGCCCTGGCTCTCCCTTTCCCAACAGGCAGGTTGTCTGTGCTTGGAAATCTGTTTTGAATAATGTTCTGAAACCTGAAAATCCAAGGAAAAGGCAACGGAGCCAGAGAATTCTTTGCCCAGACCTGTTCTTGGCTTGCCCTGTTCTGAATTATGGGAGCTACTTTGCCAGGGTGGGAAGGAGCCTGGGCCGGGTGACCTTTGGGGCCCCCAGTCCTGTGACACGAAAGACAGTTTGGGCTCGGTTGTGTTTAAAACAGCCCTCCTGGGTCTGCTGATTCTACCCTCTTGGACTGCAGAATGAAGTCTTCCCAGAACCCATGTTCACCTGGACCCGAGTCGGGAGCAGGCTGCTGGACGGCAGCGCCGAACATGACGGGAAAGAGCTGGTCTTGGAACGAGTGCCGGCGGAACTGAACGGCTCCATGTTCCGCTGCACGGCACAGAACCCGCTTGGCTCCACCGACACCCACACCAGGCTGATCGTTTTCGGTATGGGGACAATTCTTGGCCTTCACGTGATCCCCTCTGGGCCAGAGATCTCTCTGGTTTGGTCCTTCCTCACCCCGCACGCATGATGGCTGACCACTGGCAGGAGGATTGGGGGGCTGGAGAGAGAGGAACGGCATCAAACAATATCACAGTGCCATTTCTGGCTTTAAAAATGGAAGTGGCTGCACCACGTTGTGCAACGCTCTAAGAAAATCCCTCTGATATCTATGGTTTTTCACCATAGAGTTCTAGAGGATTCCTAGAGCATCACGCAACATGGAGATGCCGCTTCGGATTTTTCGGCCAGAAATAGTGTTGTGATGTCATAGGACACCATCTCTCCCCACCACCACCTGTGAAAGGTCAGGGTTTCAAATGATGTTCGAACAAGGGTAGAAAGATATGAAGTTTGACCAGTGGGGTCTCGACCCCAACCGGCACCTGACAGACTGAACCCAAAGTGGCTTGAGAGCCAGTTTGATGTAGTGATTAAGTGTGCGGACTCTAATCTGGGAGAACCGGGTTTGATTCCCCACTCCTCCACTTGTACCTGCTGATGTGACCTTGGGTCAGTCACCAGCTCTGGCACAGCTGTCCTTGAAAAAGAGCGATTTCTGTCAGGAGCTCTCTCAGCCCCACCCACCGGACAGGGTGTCTGTTGTGGGGAGGGGAAGGGAAAGGAGTCTGTAAGCCGCTCTGAGACTCCAAGTGAAGGGTGGGCTATAAATCCAATCTCTTCTTCTTCTAAGTGCCATTATTTCAGATGGTGCGTGAAGAAAACAGGAACCTGTGTGATTTCTTTCCCCCCCATGTAGAACTGCTATCTGATTATTTCTGTTTTTCCCCCGAGTTTGAGAGCCAGTTTGGTGTAGTGGTTAGGAGCGCGTACTCTAATCTAGGAGAACCGGGTTTGATCCCCCCCACTCCTCCACTTGCAGCTGCTGGGTGACCTTGGGCAAGCCATCGTTCTTTCAGAGCTGTTCTCTCAGGAGCAGCCCTCGAAAGAGCTCTCTCAGCCCCACCTACCTCACAGGGCGTCTGGTGTGGGGAGGGGAAGGGGAAGGAGTTCGTAAGCTGCTCTGAGACGCCGAGTGAAGGTATAAATCCAATATCTCTTCTTGTTCTTCTCTTCCTCGTTAGAAAATCCAAATATCCCAAGAGGAACAGAAGATTCAAATGGTAAGAAATGGCCTTCTCTGTGGAATCCTCTTGTGAGAACTGACCCTTCACCGACAACTCCTTTGAACCTCCGGCTGTGACTTTGACTTGTCCTCCACCTCCACCCCCACGCCCCAGATCCCTTGCTCTCTGTGGAAGCTCTGCCCGTCTTCTCTGGCTTCCTTTTATGCTCAGAACACCGATGTTTTCTCTTGCTTGGTGGGAGAGCCTCTGCTTGGCCTTGCCCTGGGGGCGAGGATTGCAGCCAGCCAGTCCTGGGAACAGCTTCTCTCTGTTGCCAGCCTCCAGGTGGGGCCTGGAGACCTCCCATTTTTGCAGCTCCCCTGGAGGAAATGGAATACCAAAAACAACATCCGTGACAAAAATAACAAAGAGTCAATAAAGACAAAGTGCAAAAACGCTTACTGTAGTCATTCTGTAGGAAATGTTCTTCTATAATCGCTCACACGCAACGAATACTGCGCACTGAAAACAATTCGTTTCACAATATTTGCTTTATCTGAGCATGTAGCAATCCCAATTCTTATCCATTACTACTTATCAACTCTTGAAGGAAACATTCCATGTTGACTCTCTAATAACAGAACCCAAGGTCTTCACAACTCAACATAGAATGTTTCCTTCAAGAGTTTTGGTATTCCACTTCCTCCCGTGATCTCCCATTTTTGGCTTCCCGTGGAGAAAATGGCTGCTTTGGAGGGTGGACTCTATGGCATTGTACCATGCTGAGGCCCCTCCCCTCCCCTCCCCCAACCCCTCTCCCAGATTCACCCCCAAAGTCTCCAGGAATTTTCTAACCCAGACCTGGCAACCCTACAGTTAGCAGACCAAGCAGCTGCATCGATCGAAGGTGGCTTCTTCAGAGGAGGTCTCTCTAAACGGTCTGCTTTGCACAAGGAGTCCCCTACCTCTGTCCTCTATGTTCCCTGTTCCTAAGGGGGGCTCTCGGGCCACACCGGCCACAAAGACCTTCTCCACCTCTGCCTGAGACCTGGGAGAGCCACCTCCAGTCAGAGCGGGCAGCCCTGGGCTTGGTGGGTCCAGGGTCTCGCTCAGCAGAAGCCAGAGGAATATCTCCCTCCCCCAGCCCACCCCCGTGATAAAAACGTAACTGTTATCCACAGGGGTCGTTTCGTAGAAAAAGAGCTAGGGGAACTCATTAGCATAAGTCATTCGCATATGCCACGCCCGCTGACATCACCGGAAGTGTGTCATAAGGCCACAACCCCTGACATCACCGGACGTGTGTCATAAGGCCACACACCCCACCCCCAACGGTCCCGGCCACCACCACCGGCCTTGCAGCTCCACTGCCAAGCCCCATGAGGGGCCCGGTGGTGGACCTGCAAGGCCGGCGGGAGTGCAAGGAAGCCCTGCAAAGGCCCTCCCTGGCCCCAGACAGGCAGGGGTGGGGAGAGGCAGGGAGGAAGCAACTTACCCTCCCTCTTCTCCTGCCTCCTCCTGGCTGAATGAGGGCTGGAAGCGGGGCGGCCGGAAGCAGGGGGCGGGGCTTCATCATGTGCCCCGCCCACCGTACCTCACCCGGGGGAACTGCAATCCCCTGTGATCCCCCCCGAAATGACCTCTGGTTATCCATGGTAATCTGATGGCAGATGTGGGTGACTGCCTCTAGCAGGGGGTTGTGCTGGATTGTGAATTTCGATATAAGATGAAAGGCAGCGGCACAGCAACATATGAAAACAAGGAAAAAATGCATGTGCCCAAATTTTAACACCAACAATCAATGGATTTAATAATAGTAAGACATATAAAGCACTGAGAACAAATTTCCCATAAACAGCAGGTGGAAATTCACTGGTAAAGTTGAAGACAGGTAGAAATTCACAGGTGGAGTTTTCCCACAAACAGTTTTTAATAAATTCAAAAAAAGTCCTTGATCTGTGAGGTGTTTCTGCCAGCTGACTCGACGGAAATTTGAAATGTTGAATCCAGCATGGTTCTTGAAAAAAATTATTGAAACGGATTTAGAACTGGAGGTCTGTCGAGTTAGCTGGCCGAAACACTACTACATCTTTACAGATCAAGAACCTTTTTTTGAATGTATTGAACATTGTTCATGGAAGAACTCCACCTGTGAATTTCTACCTGTATTCAACTTTACCGGTGAATTTCCACCTGTTGTTTATGGAAAATTTGTTCTCAGTACTTTATATGTCTTACTATTGTTAAATTCAGGGATCATGAATTTCAGCATGAGATGTAGACTGCGTGTGGAGCAGATTGTCTTGCTGTGGCTCAACGCCCGCGTGCCTTCCCCCCCCCCAACAGGTGTTTTCTCCTTCCCCCACCCAGGTGCAGCACCCAGCCTCACCAGCTCCAGGCTTGCCGTGGCCCTCGTCTTGACAGTGATCTTAGAAGTGACGTGAAGCCTTCGCCAAGCCCCTCCCTCTCTCTCCGTTGGCGCCCAGCAGCACTCACATCTCCCTTGATTGGTTTTCTATTATTATTTCTTCTACTTCTTCTTTGTCTTCTTCTTCTTCTTTGCTTTCCTTTCCTTTTCCTTTCTCTGAACTATTTACAGTCTCGTTATCAGTCTCTTTCTGTCTGTGTCTCGGCTTTATCATCCAGTTTAATTAAAAACAAAACAATGACCAAAAGAGCTTATGCCGGGGATGAGGCTCCAGCCGAATTATTTCCCTCTTCTTCTGCGTTGCCAGCAGGTGGGAGCGGCGCTTGTGGCTCTTACCAGAAGAGAGGCTGAGAATCCCGGGAAGTCTGTGCAAAACCAGGTCGACGTGTACAGAAAATAGTTTTGAAGGGACCGGAGCTTGCCGCCGCCCTTTTGCAGTGTGGACGGAGGCTCTCGGTTTGCCGCCTGGCACTTCTTGGGCAGAAGCTGCCCGGCTGGTGGGCCGTGGGGCATCTTACAAGGAATGCGGGTCCACCAAGCCCTGGCCTGATCCTGCCGGGCCCTTCCGAGGGTGCTAAGCAAGAGCAGAGATGCAGTTTAATGTGATGCCTTAACTGTTGGGTAGGCGGTTTTCGTACGAGGGGATCGTAGGAGTGGAGCCTGGCATCCCAGCCACTGGTAGCCAGTTGCCTCCGTGTGGCTGCAGTCCGCTCGGGCCGGCTCGTGGGCCAGCGGACTCTTTGCCACAGAAGGGAAGGGGCCCCGCGGAGTTCAGGCACCATTTCTTGTGACACCACCAGCCCCGCCCTCCGGTGATCTCATCCCAGCCTTACAAGCTCATGAGCTGTAAAAGAAAGAAAAAAAGACAATATTTCTGAAGCATAATGTGGCTGTGGGCTTGCAGGCCAGAGTGCCCCACCCAACCGCCTGGCCCCCAGTAAAGTGCTTCTGTCCCCCGTCACCACTGCCATGCTTGGGGTCTGGGTCAGCAGAAAGATCTCCTCCCTCTCTGGGGTCACGGTACAGACAAACTGCCAGGGCTGCCATAGAACTGAGTCACTGGAACTACGGGGGTGGAGAGGAGCGTCTCCCACAGCCATGCAAAATTGGCCTGGGGTCCCCGGTTGCCCAGAACGGGGTGAATGGAGGCCACTGAACAAGACGGCAATTCAGTGGCAGGTATCAGGAGATCTAGCCAAGGATCGGTGGGGTCACCAGGGCTATTTTTGGGCAGGAACGCACAGGAACGGAGTTCCGGCTGGCTCCCAAGTTGGCCACGCCCAGCAGGAACTCATTAGCATAATAGGCCACACCCAACAGCAGGAACTCATTAGGATTGGCTACATTAGGGGTGTGTGGCCTAAGATGCAAAGGAGTTCCTGCTACAAAAAAAGCCCTGGGACCACAAACAAGGTAAACAGAATAAGAAGCAAAAGGTGGGTGTGGCTGGATGACCACACTTCTGGTAACATGGGGGTGCGGCCTAATGTGCTAATGAGCTGTGCTGTCAGGGGTGTGGCCCAATATGCTAATGAGTTCCTGCTGGGCTTTTTCTACAAAAAGAGCCCTGGGGGTTACCCATGTGCAGTCTGCCCAGACTGCCAGTGCATTTTTGGAACTGTGTGTACTTGTGCAAAGAAGGCAGACTGTGTGCTGGCTTTTGTCTTCAGTCCAGTGTGCAGTCCTTGTGGTGGCAAAGATGTGCTGGGGAGCGTGCAGGCAGCCCTTGCGGGGGAGCGTTGGAGGGCGGGGGGTGGGGGTCGGCTGAGGGCAGGGATCCAGGTCCCTTCTTGTTCCTTTTCTGCAGAAATTATGCAAAATATTATTTTACAAAAAAGGATTCCAGAATAAATTATGCAGCATAAGATGAAACGATACAAACGTGCTCCGTTTCTATGATGCCTGCCAGCCAGTGGCAGAACTCATCTTTAAACCGCTGCCAGTGGAACAGACCTGGGGAAGCGGCTTCGACTTAACAGAGACAGAATATTAAAACGGCACAGCCGCACCAGCATCCCTGTGTCCTGAGAAGGAGCCGGAAATTCAAAGGTCACACTTTCCCCCACACGCGCGCGCACACACACCACTTTGGCCTTCGCCTGCTCTTCTTAACAAGCTAACCAAACGCCTTAATCGGGCTCCTGGATTGTTTATTCATGCCGGTGCCTCTGGCCCCACGAAGCAGTGGCGTTGGAGTGCATATTAATTCAGATCTCCTTTCATATTCCAACACCTGTGAGTTTGCTGTGGGGGGGGGGGAGTTGGGGAGGACCAGGGAGAGAGTTCTTCTGTTATACCCATCTAGGATTTAAAATTGGGGAGAGTCGGTCGCTTCTGCGGGGAAGCTGGAAAGAATACAATGCAAATACTAATGTGCTCAGGAGAACCCAAGGAGGTCCCTGCGGCATCCCATCACAGACCAAATACGTACCCGCAGAGATGCTTTGGAGGAAACACAGGCCGTGCGTGGCATCTCCAGGCATAGAAGATGGGCACAGAGTAGAGGGGCTCGTGGGCCCCCTTGCTGGGCTCAGCCCACAGAGGATTTGGGAAACAGGAATGCTTCTTCATCTTTCCATCCAGCTAGCTCTGACGTGCATCCTCTGGGAGGGGGAAGGGTCACTCTGTCCCCATCTCCACATTGCTCAACTGTTCTTCAAGCAGAGGCACAACAGAATCGCCCATTTTCAGAGGAGAGTGCTCGTTGCATCTCTGAACGGTCCCCTGCTCTGGGCTCGTCACCTCCCCTCCAGGCAGCATGCCCAGAACAGTGACTCCTGCAGAAACAACAGTGCCTTTTTGGTGTAGTGTGTCGACTCTAATCTGGGAGAACCGGGTTTGATTCCCCACTCCTCCTCCATGTGCAGCTGCTGGTGTGACCTTGGGTCAGTCACAAGCTCCTTCAGAGCGGGTCTCTCACGAGCAGTCCTTGAAAGAGCTCTCTTGGCCCCACCTACCTCACAGGGTGCCTGTTGTAGGGAGAGGAAGGGAAAGGAGATTGTAAGCCCCTCTGAGACTCAGACTGAAGGGCGGGGTATAAATCCAGTCTCTTCTTCTTTTGAGCTGTCAAGGGTGCTTTCAGTTTAAAATTGGGGAAAGAAAAGCAGGCCTTAATTAGCGAGGGCTGGGCAAATGTGGGTCCAAGCACTTGGAAGACCGTTGCCACAAACAGCAGCCTGGACATGCTCTGGGGGGGCTGTTGGGCCTGCAAGCGGATAGTGCAACGGACCCGTCTGAGCCCACCTCTTTTGCATCGTCTCCCCAAAGCCCAGGCGCCGGCTGCTCAATCACTGCCCATGACTGATCCCTCTTGAGCTCTTGTGCCACTCGGCGTCCCATGGCACATCCCATTTCTCAGCCGGCGGTGAGACGGCTTCAAGGAGTTTGTGGGGGGGGGGAGCCTCCTTGGGACGATCGCTCACAGCTGCACAAAGGGCTCCTACTCCGAGTAGCCGCCCGGGAGGGCAGCCCATTTTTATTTATGGGCCGCTGGGCCTCCAGGCCTTGCATTTAAATGCACTGCATTCCCAAGGCAGCTCTCCAAAGGCACTTGAGTTGATGGATGTGTGCTGCAGCTTCATAGAATCAGAGAATCGCAGAGTTGGAAGGGGTCATACAGGCCATCTAGTCCAACCCCTTGCTCAGAGCAGGATCAGCCTGCAGGAGGGCAGGGGAAAGATTTCAGCAGGATAAAATGCTATAAAGCCCACCCTTCAAAGGTGCCATTTTCTCCAGGTGGCAAGTAGGGACACAGAGGGAGAGGCGGTCCTTCCCGTCTATGTTGGGGCTGCCAGGTTCCCCCTGGCCAGCAGTAGGGCTGCCAGGTCGAGGTTGGGAAACTCCTGGAGATTTGGGGATGGAGTCTGGGGAGGACAGGGACCCCCTCAGTGGAGTATAATGCCCATAGAGTCCGTCCTCCAAAGGGAAACTGATCTCTGCAGTCTGGAACAGGGTTCCCTCTAAGCTGAGTAAGTGTGAGCTAGCTCACAGTTTTTTAAGCCTCTGGCTCACACATTTTTGTCTTAGCTCAGGAAGGAGGGCCCCAGAGCAAATTTATGCTGTAGCCAAATTGCTCGCTCATAACTTTAATGCCAGTCGCTCACAAAGGAGAATTTTTGCTCACAAGACTCCACAGCTTAGAGGGAGCCTTGGTCTGGAGATGAGCTTTAATTCCAGGGGATCTCCAGGCCTGGAGGCTGGCATCCTGTGTATCCTGCTGCTTCCTCCAGGGAACTCAGAGTGACACATGTGATTCTTCTGTCTTCATTTTATCCTCACCACATTCATCTTAAGTAGGTCAGGCCACGAAGTGCATCCAGAAATCTCGATGGCAGCCCAAGGATTTGAACCTGGGACTCTCAGCTCCTAATTTGACCCTCTGACCACTAAACAAAGATGGCTCTGAGGGTGCCCTGTGGACTCCAATGGGCAGTCCATGCCAAAGGATTGGTGCCAACACTGAGAATGTATAAGTTCTTGTTGATAAACTATTAACTCCACTGACGGACGGAGGGGGTTACGGTCAGATGGGACTGCCGTGAGGCTCTCTGTTGACGGGTGGCTCACAAAGATCCTGCAGGGATGTGATTGCACAGTGTGCACAATTTTAAAAGGTAAGCACACAGGAAACCCTTGGAGGGTTTTTAAAAAACAAAACAAAAACACCACAACAGCTTAATGTGCATGAACAACTGTCGCCTACCAGCAGGTGAGCAACTTTGTTTTGTACCCGCTGAAGCTTCCAGTCTCTTCAAGGGCAAGCTCACACAGAACAGTTGTAAACCACCAACAGCACCCCAAGTCTCCGGCGAGAGCGAGAATGTACAGGCTGTACCAAAGGCCCGACAGAAAAACAGGGAAATAAACCAGAAGGGGATGCTTGACTCATCACGACTAGCAAGGACAGCTAGATGGAGCCTCCATGGATAGAAGAAACCTTGGGAACTCTAGGGTGGTGGGAGGGCATGCCCAATGTGTGGGTTTCCTGGGAACATTTGATGGACCACTGTCCGAAGCAGGGTGCTCTGCTGCTTGATGAGCTCACGTGGTG